AGATAGATAGATAGATAGATAGATAGATAGATAGATAGAAAAATAGATAGATAGATAGATAGATAGATAGATAGATAGATAGATAGATAGATAGATAGATAGATATAGTACTCCTGGTGTGGTGCTGAGGATAAGTACTTGATTGTGAGCCATAAGGTCAGCAGTTCAATTTCACCCATCAAGTGCTCCTTAGAAACCCTGTACAGAGTCACTGTGAGTCTGAATCAACTGGACAGCACTTAATAACATATGTGTGTGTGTGTGTTCTGACAAAGTTAATATTGTAGACTCTGTTTTGTTTCAAAAGAGTCTGATGGCACTGTGGGTTAGACATTGGGCTGCAAACTGCAAGGTCAATAGATCAAACCCACCAGCCACTCCAAGAGAGAAAACTGAGACTATCTGCTCCCATACAGATTTACAGTCTCAGAAACCTGATATAGTGTCGCTATGCATCTGAATCAACCAAGTAAGTTTAGATTTCTGATTCCTTGTTTTCAAAAGAAAGAAATTCATGAACTGACATCACAGTCTCAGTGAGACATGCTCCACCAGGCACAGAGACACTAGTTATTCTGAGTGATAAAAGGCAGAGAGAGAGAAACAAAACAAAACAACGCATCTTTCGTACATTTTGACATACCATCAAGTTAAATAAGAGCAGGGTATACAGAATACCCAAACATTTAAACTTAGCTATTCAAAAAGGGTTTGTTTTATGTCTCAACTAAAACTTTTGAGCAAGCAGACAAAAACATTTGTGCATTCCAAATGAGGTCAAAAGAGATAGAAATCCCAAAGAGAAGAGATGGGGCCAGTTGAAATAGTCTAAGGCTCTTTAACTATTTTTAAAGGGCCTTTAAATTTTTTTTACTCGATTTTGATCTTGTTAAAAATACACACAGAAAGTACACCAATTCAATAATTTCTACATGTACAATGCCATGATATTGATTATACTTTTCAAATTGTACTACAATTCTCATTCTCCTTTCCAAATTGTTTCTCCTCTTTTAACATAGCCCCACTACAGCCTAAATTTACTGTCTAAACTTATGAGTCACTGTTGTCAATTTGACCCCCATATTTGTTGTTGTCAAGTCAATCCTGACTCATAGCCACCCTGTATTGGGTTTCCGAGGAGCGGCTGGTGGGTTTGAATTGCCAATATTTCTTTAAAGATCGATTGATCCCAGGTAGGTAGTCCTTAAAGGTAGGCATTCGTTACTAAATTCAGCTGTGGTTTGGCTTAAAGAAGACATCAGGAGATATTTTTGGTTTTCCATTCAAGGTTTCAAGAAGATCTCAGAGCAATAGTGTGGGGGTTCATCCAGCCACAAGAATCTGTTTAGCTCCAGCAAGTCTGGAGGAAAAGATGCAAATTCAGTAAGCCCACAATACCAAAAAAAAATTTTAAATTGAGGTTTATCACTTTGTCACTAAATGAATTGACTTTCAGTGACTCAATGATGGAAATGATTAAATATTATCTTTGCTCTGTCTTTAAAGAAACTCTCCTCCTCTCCCCTGAACTCAACTCAAGACTGATTCTCACCCCTCTCTGGTGCCCTGCCTGATCTAATGGAGTGGCCATCACCCTCTCCTTTCCTCCCTTGTCCTTTATTCACAACCTCAATCCACCTTCTCATTTCCACATGAATGGGAACCTGGACTATGGAACTGCAAGCTCTGTTTCCTCACTCTGCCTCAAGTCTAATCAAAACCCCTAACACGAGGGAGACAACCATCTAACGCATTCATTCAACTCCACACCCCTGCACCTGACCTCAGTGATTCACCTCCATTTACTTTCTGGCCCTTGGTCAACTGCTACCTCCCTCTGATAAAGTCAGGAAAGAAGCCCGACCTTCCCATTTTCTGTGAGCATGCTCAGCAAATGTCCAGGCAAGCCCTCTGCTCCATTGCCTTCTGACCCCAGGCCTAAGCAACAGCACTGACTACATGTCAGGGAATTCAGAAACACTTGGTGATGCTTGAGCTCAGTTCTCAGATGTCAGCCACTGGCTCCCCTGCAGCCAACAGTTAGGAAACAGCCATCCACCCTGCCTGTCACCGGAGTTTATTGCCACATAACTCCCACTGTCCCTAAAAGGCTAATCGATAAGGACCTGCCCAGTAGCCACTCAGACTAATGAAATCACACAGTGGCTCACAAGTGGTAATAACTTTCCACTAACCCCAAACAAAATGAGTCGCTAGGGGCTGCCTGAGAAACTGGAGACAACAAAGCCTGGGACCCAAATCTCCTCCACTGAGTAACTTTATCCTCCAATCCCTGATCCCACAGCAGTAAAAACTTAGGCAAATGACTATGGATCAAGTCAAGTGGCTATGGGTTCTGTCTCCAGGACACATTCTGAGTGATCACATCTCATGAGGAAGAAGAAATTAAGCCAAATACATCCTCAGGTGGAGTCCTAATATGGCTCTGTAAGATAAGCACTGGACTGGTAACCACAAGAATGGCAGTTCAAACCCACCAGTCACTTCTTGGAAACCCTATACCAGGTCTACATGAGTTGGAACTGACTCGGCAACACTTAGCAACAACAAAAGCACATACCCAAGCAGCTTTGAAAATGGCCCCAGTCACCTGAGGCGCCTCAGAGAAGGATTTTTGTTGCTGTTGTTTAGTGCCACTGAGTTGATTCTGACTCACAGTAACCCTGTTTAGGGTTTCCAAGGAGTTGCTAGTGAGTTTGAACCACTGACCTTGCAGTTAGTAGTCCTACAGCGCCATACCAGCACTCCCAGGGAAGGTTTTAGGGCATTGAAAATAAAAGCTACTGCTTTCCCAGAATCCCACTGCCCTCCCTATCATAGAATAGCTTAGATGGGGGAGGAGCTGGGTCAGACTCCCAGCCAATCTTCATCTCCCCCATCATGACTCAGATCTACCAGTAGTGCCTTGCTATAGGTCCCTAGGAGTGAGTATAGGGAATGGGGAACCTAAGTTCATTAGGAATATATAGCTGGGAGAGCAGGGCTAGGCCTCATGGTCAGGGCCCTACAAACCCATTGTCATATCTTTAACACAGACCCACACACAATGTTATCCACTCCTACTGGCACTGCTCTCTGCTAAGCGATGCTGAGCAGAAGATCCAAGTCAGGCGCTCAAAGAATCCCAGTGTAGAAATGAAAAGTACAAGCAGACAATTCATTGGTGGTGTTGCTGTTAAGTACTGTCAAGTCAGAAATGAAGTAGCACAGAGTGCCTGCAGTGAAAGACAAAGGGATCTTGAAGGAAGTTTGGTTCATAAAGACAGCAGAGACCAGGACATCCCCACTCAAGTAATAATCACCCAGCGAACATATGCCAGGCAGTGTGTTTAGGGTGGGGCTACCACACCCCAAATGTGGTATTCACTGTTCTGGAGCTTCTGGTGCAGAAGTTCATGGAGATAAGCCAGAAACCCTAGTTTGTCTCCCGGCCTATGAACCTCATGCATAGTCACTACCCATCTGTCCATTGAACCCAAGACAGACTAGGAAGAAAGGGCTGATGATCTACTTCCAAAAATCAGCCAATGCAAAATCTGTGATGGCATCATGCATGGGCTTGCCATGAGTCATGGACCCACTTGATGGCTGTTCGCAACAATGATAAGCTACGTCTGTGTATCGACGTCTCTAGTAAGAGTAAACCATAAAAATGGAAAAGAAAGTGAAAAGGAGTCTTAGACAAGAGCCCCTCATGTGAACCAGAAACAAATCCCCTCTCAGTCCTCTGACAAAGTATGGCGGAGACAAGATAATAAG